TTCTGAGGAGTGGCTGGTAAGTTTGAACTGCCAACCTTCTGGTTAGCAGTTAAATGCCTTAGACCCTATACCACCAGAGCTCTCAACTGTTTGAAAACTGTAAAGCACTGCTTAAATCTCTCTTGTTTATCATTGTATGCCTAATATCAAACATTGTGCCCAGAAAAAAGGACAATAAATATTTGTTGAATGATAAAGTAAAAGTCGGGCTTCTTATCCAAAGATGAGAAGACATCTTTCAGACCAAATACTGCAGCAATGATTTTTTTTCTGACAGGACTATTCAGGACTGTTCAATGTTAAAAGTATTCAGTCTTGTGCAAATGGAGACCCTTTAGAGCCAGTCAGAATAAACCCATTCTAATTGTAACTGAGCAGTTGGAACAGGAATAAAGACACCTCATGACCTCTCTTCTTTCAGGTGATGGAGCAAATGATGTGAGCATGATTCAAGCCGCTGATATTGGGATTGGGATATCAGGACAAGAAGGCATGCAGGTATTGTTCCCTTCAACTGTTCTTGTTTCTTTTCACTCTTCTTTATCCTTATTGGTATGAGGTCAGTGGTGGCTGAGTGGTAGACTTCTCGCCTTCCATGCAGGAGACCCAGGCTCGACTTCTGGCCAATTCAACGCATATGCAGCTACCACCCATCTGTCATTGGAGACTTCTGGGTTACTATGATACTGAATAGGTTTCCACAGATCTTCCAGACTAAGGCAGACTAGAAAAAATGGCCTGGAAACCTACTCCCAAAAATCCTCCAATAAAAACGCTATGGATCACAATCATCTAGTCTATGATTAGTCTTGGAGATGACACAGGACAAGGCAGTGTTGTGCTCTGTTGTGCATGAGTTCTCCATGAGTCTAGGGCCAACTCAATGGCAGCTCACAACAACAACAACAACAACTTTTGTTTGAAAGTTAAGGAATTTCCCCACACTGGAGGACCTTCACACAGAGAGCTTTGCAAGATCAGGGGGCTTCCATTCCTGTGTTTGACCTCCATTACCACCTCCTTACTTCAGAACACAGAGGGAGATCAAAAGATGCCTGGTTTGCACAGAGAGTGGTGATGTTTATATTCTAAAACCAGAGTATCCAACCATTCAGGGAACTATGAGCCTTCCTCTGACTCCACGTTTCCTCACTTAACCTCCATCCATATCCAAAGTTGCAATGCTTTCCATGACCGGTGACGGATGTAAGGACATTTCAAAATATGTTTAAACTGCTATTTTAGTCTTGATGACTAGATTGACCCATAAATTGCTTGGTACACTTTTATTTGGTGGAACAAACAGTTAAGCCCTCAACTACTAGCCAAAGGGTATTGAACCCACCTAAAGGTGCTCCAGAAGACAAGCCTGGTGAACTTCTGAAAGATCATATAGCCTTGAAAACCCTATGGAACAGTTCTACATTTCACACTTGGAGTTACCATGAGTCTGAATTAATGGCAACTAACAACAACAATGTAGTCAAAATTCAGCCTAGAACAGCATACTAACTTGAGCTGCTGAGTTTCCCATTAAAATAGACTTCTTTTGTCTTTTTCTTTGTTTATTTTGAATCATTGACAAATGTATTCTTACCATCAGTGCTGACATTTGTTGTTGTTGTTGTTGTTATGTGCCGTCGAGTCAGCCCCGACTCATAGCAACCCCTCCTTGGGTTTCCGAGGCAGTATCACTACGGAAGTAGGATTGCCCAACCTTCCTTCCGAGGAGTGGCTGGTGGGTTTGAACCGCCAGCCTTCTGGTTAGCAGTCAAGTGCCTTAGGCACTATGCTACCAGAGCTCCTGTGCTGACATTTAGTGTCACCTAAATGTGCTGACATTTAGTGTCACCTAAATTTGTCGCTGAGAATGAATGAGCTTTGACCCAGAAGCCACAAAACAATTATGTGTTACCTTTAGCTCATCTACCATATGCAGTATTCTGTAGGAACTTCACATTTATTTTCATGTTTTGCTTTTTTTAAAAAAAAAAAATGTATTTTTTATTATATATATATATATATATAACAAAAAGTTTGCCATTTTTACCATTTTTAAGTGTACAATCCAGTGACATTAATTATACTCACCATGCTATGCAGCCATCACCCCTATCTATTTCCAAAGTTTTACATCACCCCAAAAAAGGATCTTAGTGCTTCTTCAGCAATAATTTCCCATTCCTTCCTCCTCTCAGCCCCTGGAAACCACTAGTAAACTTTTGTTTCTATCCATGTGTGTATTCTAAATATTTCATGTAAATTGGATCATACAATATTTGTTCTTTTATGTCTGAATTATTTCACTCAGCATAAATTTTTAACCTTTTTTTTAACTGTCATTTGGGTGAAAGTTTACAGAACAAATTCATTTTCCATACAATAGTTCAGACACATTTTATTTCATGACATTGATTGCAATCCCCATAATATATAACAGCTCTTTTCCCACATCCTGTGGCTACCTTTTCCTGATGTCATTATTTCCTGTGCATTCTTGCCTTCTGAGCTATTTCCCTGTGCAAATACTGTCATTCTGATCTCCCATGGTTGATTGTTTTAAGGAGTAAATGCAAATGTTCACCTTCTATGCTTGTCTATTTTTTGGCTGGAAGCCATGGAAATGAGTTCAATGCCAGTTCTGAAGGGTGACCAGGGGCCATAGTCTCAGAGGTTTCACCAGTCTCTATCAGACCAGTTAGCTTGGTATTCTTTTATGATTTTGAGTTTTGTTCCACATATTTCTCCCACTTTATCCAGGATCTCCCACACTGATCCCTTTCCAAGTGGTTCACAGTGGTAGCCAGCACCATTTAGTTCTTCTAGTCTCAGGGTCATGAAGGCTGAGGTTCATTTGTATGTTCCACTAGTCCCTTGGACTGATTATTTCCATGCATCTTTGGTTTTCTTTATTCTTTTTTGCTTTGTATAAGGAGAAACCAATTGTTGCATCTAGATGAACAGTCAAAAGTTTTTAAGACCCCATTCACTACTCACCAAAGTAGGATGTCGAACAATGTTTTTGTGTAGTATGTTATGCCAGTTGAGCTTGATGTCCTCCATGACCATGGTCCTGAACCCAAAGATCCAACAACTCACTCCATCAGGGTGGTACACTGTGCCTAAGAAGTTATCATAACTTTGCCCCCATTAGTTCTATTTCTATGGACATCCTTATAGCACATACAAATACATATGTAGAAGTATTGTCTGCCAAACTTATATATGGTCATGGATATATTCCCTTTTGCCTAGACATACCTGATCATTCAGCCTGTTACCTATGAAGGTAATTTGAAGAAGAACTAGACTATGTATTTAAAAAAAAAAGAGAAAGAAAAACACTTTTACATACATAATAATGCATTGTCAATAATAAACATCAATCTACAGGTGGATACATCAGTAGTCAGCATAATATTTTGCAACTACATGCATATGGTAGCATGTATCAGAATTTCATTTCTATTTATGTCAGAATAATATTCCATTATATAGATATACCACATTTTGCTTATCCATCTATCTGTTTCCACATTTTAACTACTGTGAATATTTCAATGAACATTGATGTAGACTTTCTCATTTCATTTTAATAAGCACCAAAACCCTATATTTTAGAGGACTTTTTTCTCCCCCAGATGGGAAAAGTGAGGCTCTGAAAAGTTAAATAACTTGACCAAGGTTCATACCAAGATTTGTAAACAAACATGTACAATTGCAAATATCCTCTTAAAAGAGCACTATGGAGAATAAGGAATGGAGAATTATTTCTGTTTGGAATGATGAAAAATTTTTGAAACTAGATAGTGGTGATGGTTGCACAACATTGTGAATATAATTAATGACTCCGAATTGTACACTTAAAAAACAGTTAAAATGGTGAATTTTTTGTTTTATATATATATACACTTTACCACAATATAAGTTGTTTAAAAAAAAATTTTTTTTTTAAGAATATTATGACCTCTGCCTATTCTGGGTAATCCCAAAAGCAAAAGACACATTTCACCTCCATGTAAAAGAAAAGCTAGCAAACCATCAGCTTCATGTGAGAATGGAATGAATGGCCTGCCTCAGGAGGTGAAGGGTATTCAGAGGTTTGAGGATTACTTGAACAGAAGCTCCTACTTCTGGTTAACCATTACATTCCTAGAATAATGTCTGGCAAATAGTAGGTCTCAATAAATGTTTGTTGGATAAATGGATGGAGAGGAAGGGCCAGGCTAGAAGACCACTGTCCCTGCTGACCTGATCTTCTTGGATGTTAGTGAGGTCCAGATTTCCCAGAAGAGATGATAGGTGCCAGAGTCCAAGGAGCCATCCAAAGGAGACCAAAACTAGGGCCTTATCTTGCCATATAACAAAGGGTAATTCAGATCTGGCCAGTTGAAACCAGAGAACAAAGTATGATCCTGGGGAAATCTCTAGGGTAGTGGCAGCAGTGGATGCTACTAATGTCCCTGTTCTCTCCTCTCAGGCTGTCATGTCCAGTGACTTTGCCATCTCCCGCTTCAAACATCTCAAGAAGCTACTACTCGTGCATGGCCACTGGTGCTACTCACGTCTGGCCCGGATGGTTGTGTACTACTTCTACAAAAATGTGGTAAGCGGCTCTACAGTCCCCTCTCACCCAGCTCTACAGTCCTCTTTCACCCAGGCCTGAGAGTCTGCTGTGGAGCCAACTCCCCCATAGTCATAGACAAAGTGTTTCAGCACTCAGAGAATAATTCAGGTTGGCCTACATTTTGAGTCTAAAACTGTCCCTTACTAGCTCTAAGAGCTCAGGCAACACAATTCCCTGGATTCCATTTCTCATTGGTAAAATGGGGCTAATACAATCTATTTTGTGAAGTTATTGTGAGGTTTGGCAATATCGTGTGAATAGCACTTGGCATGTAGAATGCATCAGTGGTTAGAGAATGGACTCTGGAGCCAGATGCATTGAGTTTAAGTGCAGACTCCCATATTCAGTAATGTCCCAAGTCAGTTTCCTCATCTGTAAAATAGGCATGATAATATAACCTTCCTCATACATTTGCCCTCAAGATTAAATGAGAAGTTGCATATAAAGTGATAGGTGGGTAGTAATCACCCTACATGGTTGTTGTTATGTGCTGTTGAGTCATCTCTGACTTATAGTGACCCTATGTACCCTACATGGTAAGCATTATTTTTATCAGCATTGTTCCTGTCATTATTCTTGGAGAGCCCAAATAAATGAGATTTTCTGATGTAAGGATGAAGTATTTGAAGAAGAACTAGACTGATTTATATCTTAGATTTTCTCCCAAGATAGACCTTCCCCAATGCAGATCCCATGTGTTACAGAATAGAATTAAGTTCCACAGGGATAAATGTTCCCACCCCTTGAGAGAACAAAGATAAATGCTCTTCACACAATGTGGGCCTGGAGCCTATGCCTTCAATATGAGACCCTGTGCATCACTTCAGCACCCAAAAGGTATTGTCAAAAATGTTTCAGAGAGAAACAACATCTGGATCCTAATCTTGCCTGCTCTACTATGCTATACGACCTTGGAAAGGTCATTAACCTCTGAGCTTGGGTATCCTCATCAATAATACAGGCAGGCTATGACTAACTCTGTCACTAGAAGTGTTATCAAGAGGCTTTAGTGTCAGGGCTCTGGAAAGCATACAACACTAGATAAAGAATTATATGAAGACATTAATGTGTTTTCTAAAAATATGTTGGTTTCTGCCTTACTGATAAAGGCCAAAAGCAGGGATCCACCAAGTAAGATATTAAAACTGCTAGACGCTCTTGTTTGAAATGCCCTTGATTAACAACGGATATAGGAACAAGTCAGAACATTGCTGTTTTCGAGATGGGAGCAAATACCAAGGTTTTCACTATCTATTTCAAGGACCTTTGATAATCCCCAAGAGCCTCCAAATACAATCTGCTTCCTGTTTGCATAAGGAAATGGAGAGGATTAAAAAAGAGTGATGGAAGAGAAACACATTAGTGACTCCAAAATTGCATTTTTTGTCTTGCTCCGTTCCCCTAATCCTGCTTTCAGGCCTGTCACAGTCCCCCTCACTCAGAAGTGAGCCTTTCTGTGCAAAGTTCAATGTATATGTAAATAAACAGCATGACAAAAAAATAATGTCAATTGGATAAACGAGATGGTAATATTATTTCAGCAAGTCTATGCAAACAAGTCACTCCATTTCATTTGAACCCCATTTGGAGTATAAAAGATTGTTTACTTAGAATTCAAATGCCCCTGTTGATTTTTTTTTTTTTTTT